AATAGGACTAACTATGAGATATCATCTCACCCCAGTAAGAATAACAAAATTTAACAGAACAGCAAGCAACAAAAGCTGGCGAGGTTGTGGAGAAACTGGAACCCTTATTGGTGGAAGTGTAAAATGGTGCAACCACTGTGCAAGGTGGTATGGCACTTTCTCAAAAAGTTGCAAATAGAGATACCATTTGACCCAGCAAACACCCCAAAGTGACCATAACTGACATCCACACAGATATATGCACACCCATGTTTATCACGGCTTTGTTCACAATAGCAAAGAGTTGGAAACAGCCCAAGTGCCCATCAACAAACAAATGGATAAAGAAGCTGTGGTGTATTCACACAATGGAATACTATGCTGCGTTGAAAAACAAGGAACTCATCCAATATTATTCAAAATGGGTAACCCTGGAGGACATTATGCTGAGTGAAGTATCTCAGTCACAAAAGGACAAATACTGCATGGTGCAAAACAGGAGTAACCTCAGGGTTGGGGGGAGATTGAGAAAGAAGGGTTCAATAATGTATACTGCACTGAAACAGATGAGGGAGAAAACTGTTAAGAGGGATATGTTATTAGGTATTTTTGTCATGACAGGAGTCCAGAGTGAAGGCTGTACACTGGAGTGGGCCTGAGGGGAGGGAATTGTAAAACAATGAAAGAATTTTTCTTTTATTTTTCCAAGAGGGTAGTATTCTAGGAGGGAGGGTTGGGAGGGGAGAAAAGTGCAACAATGAATGAATGAATGGAAATCCAAAGTCTGTAAATTTTCATTGAAATTAATAATAAATTTAAAAGAAAGAAAAAATAAGACTGACATTGGGGTTGAGGAGAAATTAAGAAAAGAGGGAGTAAATAATGAACACTGCATTGGAACAGGTGAAGAGAAGAATTATATGATTAGGTATTATTTTTATGTCAACAGTCAAGAATAAAAGGTGCAAAATAAAACCGACTAGGGGAGGGAGAAATGATGCAACAATAAATCAATAATTTTTTAAAGAAGTGAATGGGGAGAGGTAGGGAGGAAAATGTGCCACAAAGAATGAATGAAAATCCAACTTTTCTGTAAACTTTCATTAAAATAAAAACTTTTGTTGTTGTTATTGTTATGTGCCATGGAATTACCTATGACTCAGAGCAACCTTTTGTACAACAGCCCTAAATCCTGCTGTATTCTGTGCCAATGTATGTTTCTGACATACCTGCTCCCCTTACCCCAGTCATTGAATCAATCCATCTCATCAAGGGTCTTCTTCTCTTGTGCTATCCTTCCACCCTCTCAAGCATGATGTCTCTCTCTAAGGACCAATCCCTCCTTGCCACATGTCCAAAGTATGTAAGATGAAACTTCAGAATCCTAGGATGAAACTATTTGTTCTGCTAGCAGTCCATGGTATATTCAATACTCTTCTCCAGCACTGCAGCTCAAAGGTATCAATTCTCCTACTTTCATCCCTAGTCATTGTCTAGCTTTCTGATACATAGCTAGTATTTGCAAAGACTATGGCCTGGATCAGGTGCACCTTATTCTCCAGAATTACATCATTGCTCTTCAGTACTTTGGAAAGAGTTTCCCAGCGTAATTTGTCTTTTAATTTCCTGACTGCTAATACCAAGAGTGTTGATTGTGGAGCCAAACTAAAGCTGTTAACAATTTCAATCTCTTCACTTTCTATTATGATGCTGCCAATTGGCCCAGTGGTGAGAATCTTTGTTTTCTTGATATTGAGCTCCAATCCATATTGAAGATTGCAGTCCTTGACCTTTTGCAGGAAGTGCTTCAGGTCAGAAAACACTAACCAACTGTTACTTGACTACGGGAAACATTGAGGGGGAGGAAAGACTGAATACTGCCTGCTCTTCATGTCAGCAGCTATTTCTTTTGCAGATGTAACCAATCAGTGGAAGCACCTAACTTTCAACCAAGTTGTTAAAAAATGAATTATAATTACATCTGCATTTTTATGCTCCCTCATTTGTTTACCATTATCCTACTTCAAAGCATAGAGAACAGAGTGCTTTGTTTCTTAAGCACCCAAATGTGATTATGACATCAATAAGACATAGGCTAGTACACTTGCAGAAAAGCGCACTATGATCTAAGCTCCACTCAAGGACAGAGACATTTTGAAAAGCACAGAATCTGCAAACCCATCTGTAGTTAAACCAGCTCTCCTATCAACACTGCAGCTGAGGGAAGTGCTCCTCTTCAGACACAGTCATTGTGGCCATGGGCTGCTCCCACAAGAAGGGCCTTGACCTGGGTTAGACCCACACTCACCAGAAACCCTGCCAAGGAGACACAAACTTCAAATGGCTTTGATTGCTGGCGTAGATAAAGTCCAAGTGACACAGAAGCAGCTTCTCAGAGGTGGACAATGGCCAGTGCTCCAAGACCTCAGGAAGGATGTTGTAGTTAGTGTGCACAGTTTAATTTGTAAATTTTGAGGACTGCCATTGACAAAAGGCAGACTCAGGGCAACAGAGAAAAACGTAACCACAATGCGTGTGAAGGTCATCATTACACACCCTCAGTTCTGCAAAGAACTCTGATGGGCCACATATACCCAGATCTGCAGAGGATACTGCCATCCCACACATACACCATGACTGCAGAGAACACTGTCACCAAACACACACACAGCATACAGAGAACACTGCCATGACTCACCTGCCTCTCAGGTCTGTAGAGAACACTGTCACCACACACACCCAAGTTTGCAGAGATGATTATCACGACACACACACACACTACCCCACCCATGTCTGCAGAGAACACTGTCACCACACACACCCAGATCTGCAGAGAATGCTTTTGCTACAAGCACCACTATGTCTGCAGACAACATGGTAACCACACACGCATACAGGTATGCAGAGAACACTGTCACCACACACTCCACCAAAAAACCCATGTCAGCAGAGAACATTGTAACCACCACATGCATGTCTGAAAAGAATGCTTTCAGCATAACACTACCATGTCTGTAGAGAATACTGTCAACCACACACATACATTCTCAGAACTGTAGAGAACACTGTCAACACACACACACACACACACACACACACACACACACACACACTCATGTCTGCAGAGAAAGTGCTTTCAACGCACACACACTCAAATCTTGAGCGAACACTGTTATCAAAACACATCCACCCTTTCTACGAAGATGGCACTGAAAGCGAAGATGGAAACCTGCCCCTCCCAAGACTGAAGCCAAAGCAAAGGCATTAAAAGGCCAAGAAGGCAGTCCTGAAGGGCATCCACAGA